TGATCTCAGGTTGTGAATTCAAGCCCCACGTTGGGCATGGAGCTTACCATTAAAAAAAAAAAAAAAAAAAAAAAAAAGATTGTGTGGTCAAAGGAGGCCTCTCTGAGGAGGTAACTCCTGAGCTGTGACTTGAACACAATCAAGCTGTTGAAGGCAGCCATTGACGTCTGCAGGGAGATAATTCTAGGCCGAAAGAATGGCATGTGCAAAGGCCCTGAGCTATGATGAAATGAAGGAAGAAATGAAAAAAGGTAGTTTGAGATGAGGCCTGAGAAGCAGGTAAGGGCCAGATTCATAGCAGGCCTGGGAAAGAACATGGATTTCCCTCTAAGGACAGGGGGAGCCTTTGGTGTATTTTCAGTAGTCAAGGGATGTGATCTCACAGGTAACAAACCGCTACAGTATCTACGTGAAAGATACATGTGTTGAGAGGTGGCTGGGCTCAGAATATAGCTGGGAGGTAGAGCTGATGGGATGTATACAATGTTTCAAACATGGGTGAGGGTAGCCAGGGGAGAAAACCCTTTCCCACTGATCCCAGATGTGGGTGACCTCAGGGTCTTTCTCAACAGGGAGCCCCAGATGTGAAGTATAAGAGGACCTTCCCCATCCAGTCTAGCCTTTAGTTTATAGATGGGGAGACTGAAGAAAGAGCCTTAGAGGTCTCCTTGTCCGGCCCCCCAGAGAGGGGCTGTGAATTCTCACAGTTCCCGCTGAAATTCACAGGCTGAGCTGGGACTCAAACGTGGGCTTCCTGGCCCCTGGTCCAGGCCTCTCGCTACCCCACCCTGCTGCGTCTCCAACGAACATGGAGGAGGGAGGAACCACTGCCTAGAGAATGACCAGGCGTGGCGATGTGGTGAGGTCACCAGGAGAAGTGTCTAAAGGCAGTGGAGACTGCAGAGGCCCGGGCCAAGGCGCTGATTGGAGACAGGGCACTGCCCTGTGAGCAGTCAGAGGTGGGTGGAACATCATGGAAGGGTCCGGGGGCAAGCTGCCAAGGGCTCGCTGGGTGAGAAAAATGCACCAGGGCAGCATTTTCAGGCTGGCAGGCTTGAGGAGGACGTCTGGGACAGAGCCTGTGGTGGGCCATCAACCCTCAGGGGTCTTGGGAGAGACACGAGTAGCCACCAAGAATAAGAAGCCTGAGAAACTTCCTGCAGGAGCATCCTAAAGCCAAGGCCAGAAGTGAAGACGGAGGGTGGGCCCGCTGCCTGGGTTTGCCCACCTCCACCCAGAAGGGGAAGGGGAAGGCAAGGAAAGAAGCCGCTGGAGCCCCAGCCTGAGGTGCTGGAAGTCCAAGGCAGGGGGCCCGGATTCCACTCCCTGCCGGCTCCTCAGAAACTTGTCATTTTCCTCTTCCTCAGGGCTGCTTTTGGGCTCAGTTGTTTTGGTGCACGATCCTCTGTACTATCCCCATTTGACAAATGAGGCTCAGAGAGTGTAAGGAACTTTCCTAGGGTCACACAGCTAAAAAGGAGCAAAGTCAGCATTGGAAGCTGGCTTCTCAGCCACGGTGGGCTCCTGTCTTGGGCTCCCTTGGTGACTCTGAGCAAGGCTCCCTGGGTCTCACTGTCCACTGTAAAATGATGGGGCCACATAAATGAGCCCCTCAGGCCCCTGTAGTTTTGGTGGGGGGGCCCCAAATTGTGCCTGTAGGATTGGGGCTCAGGAACCTGAAGGAGGGGCGGTGGATTCATTTTGGAACTGTGTTCTCCACTAGCCTGGGAGAAGTGGGTGGGGCACAGGCTCTGCCAGGCCACTTCCTCTCTACTTCCGCTGCTGAGCATGGATATGATGGTTGGATGAGTCGGTACAGGTAACGTGTCTTGTAGAGGGCCCGGCACACCATAGGTGCTCAATAAATGTAGCTCTTAATGTTTTGTCAGAGAGAGTGACCCCCAAACAGCAGCAACTCCCTGCCTTTGTGCAGCTTATAATCTGCTAGGGGGCTCACACGCACACACAGACACACACACGCACAGACACACACACACACTTCAAACAAGTACCATGTAGAACATGTTATTTAGAGAGAAATGACAGTAAAAAAAATGAAGCAGCAGGAATGGAGGGGTGGAGAGGAGAGGCAGTGCCCTAGTGGGGTTGGATCTTAAACCAGGAAGACCAGAAGGCCTCCCGGTGAAGGGGATAAGAGCCAAGGCCTCAGGGAGGTGAGCGAATGAGCCACGCGGCTCTCTGAGGGAAAAGCATCCCAGGCAGCAGGAACAGCAGGAACTGCCAGAGCTAAGGCCTGTCTAGAGACGTTTGAAGGACCATCCTGATGTTTAATAAACCCAGGGTGCCCAGGGGCAAGACTCAGCTGCAGATCCCCTTGGGAGGACCGAAAGCTTCCTCCCCATCTCTGATTTCTTCTGCACTATCATCATTAATTCGAGATCCCCAGCCCAGTGCTCCAGGGGCTGCGGGTGGGGGGTGGGAGGGCGGCGGGTAGGTTGTGTGCCAAGGAAATGAGTCCAAAGTGCCAGGTTGGAAGTCTGCCGGGGCGTCTCTCCTCCTGCAGAGCGGCTGGACTCCAGGGTGGGACCCAGGTGAGCTGGGACTCCACTAACGCCCATTGTTCCGGGCTGAGTGCATCTTCTGGGTGAGTGAGTGGGTGTGCAGGGAGCAGAACGGGGATGAACTCAGGCTGGCCACACCCTTGGGCCTTCCCTGTTGGGAGTTAAGCCCCAGGAAGAATAACTGGGAACCCAGAACGAAGAGAGAAGTCAGGCCCAGAGGTTGCTAGAACTCTGTAAGATTTCTTTCCCTTTGGAGTCACCTCCAGTCCTCTTCTGGTTTTCTCGTCTCTCAGTTTCTCCTTAGAGCTGAGCTGCAAAGCTTTTTAGAAATACCTCAGGGGCTGGTCTTCTAGGGGAGTAGGAGGGAGAACTCAGGCCCACAACACAGGTAATCAGGGGCAGGGTGGGGGGAGCATTCTTCCAAGGCAGACAGCGGGTAGCGACAGCAGGAGAGAGCCTGGGAGCAGGCCTTAGGGAACTAGTAGATGCCAGAGCTGAGTGGTGCTAGACCCTTCCTGGACAGGGAAGCCATCACTGGGCAGCCGGGCTTGGGTTGAGGGTGGGGTGATGAGGATAGAGGACACAGGGGTACATTCCATGCCTGCCTAGGCCTGGACACCTTGTCTGACTTTAGGAGAACTTGAAGCCACCCAGAGGGCTGGCATCCCTGGATGTTGGAAGCAGAGTGGCGGGATGCAGGGTTGGGGAGATCGGGATGAAAACAGATGACAGAGGGCAGGGCATTGGTGATGGCTGGCTTCTAGGACAGGGTCATACTTGGGTACCTCCAGGGGATAAAGGAAGTCATAACAATGGGTACAACAAGCTCACGGGAGGAACGAGGTAGGTGGCTGCTGCTCAGGCCAGCTGAGTGTGGCCACAGCCCGGTGTGAGTTCAGACCCAGTGTTGCCCGTTCTCCTGGGGCTTCAAGGGAAGTAGGGAACACGGACCTATAATATGAAATCAGCACATTTAAAACATTGGTTATCAATTAATAAAGCAGTATAAATAACAAAAAAAAAAACACCACGCAGGTCAAGCAAAGCCCACCACCTTGGCTGGTGACCCCGTGCTCTGGCAAAGGGGGCACTGAGGCCAGGTCCTGGCCCGGGCCAACTATCTGTCTTGTTGTGCTGTGTGGTCCTGGGCAAACCCCTCCCCTCTCTGGGCCGCAGTTTCCTGATCTGGAAGAGAAGAGGCGCCTGATCTGTGGGGTCCCACCAGTTTGGACAGGGTGTGACTAAGTCCCTCAGGCTCGAGGGAAGATGTGGTTATTAGGGAAGTGACTCTTCCCGGGAACCATGCTTCCTGGACTGGCTGCAGCGCGCTCTGGTATTTCGTGTTTCCACCATCACAACCATGTGTGTGGATGGACGTGTGTCATAATTTGGAGCTTTGCATGGCCCAGTGTCAATATCATCGTTTTAATAACTTTGCATTAGAACCTTTCATTGGCTACTCTGGAAGCTGGTGAGAAGCCGTAATTAATTCTCCCAGTGACCTGGGGAGCCAGGGGTCTCCTTCCTGATTTTGCAGAAAGCCAAGGCCAGAGTTGGCAGGTGCCTTAGCAAACCCTGCACTGCCAGGGACCCTGACTCCATGTTAGTTCCCTGGCAGTGTGCCAGGTTCCTCACTGAACCAGTGAGACCAGGATCAGGGTTTGTACCCATCGTAGTGTGGGCTGCTGGAAGAGCTGGGAGGGTCCCTTCTATGGGGTGAGGGACACGCGGGGTGGTGAGGGTAGCTGAGCCCTGGCTACCTCCCTGGGTCTTTTGTTAACTGGGCGCTCTCTGTCTCCTGCTGTCCTGTCCAATCATTGACCTTTGTTCTCTGTAGTACTCAGAGCCCCCAACTCCCCAAACATTCTTTTTTTGCTGTGGCCTTCGCAGGGGCCACTGCTTTGGTTTGAGAGGAGAGAGAACCGGGGGAAGAAGAGGCTTTGGGATCTAGAAAATCCCGGCTTTTTGTGCACCGCCTCCTCCCCACCCCCACCCAGCTTTTTCCACCTGTGCCCCAGACCTGATCAGGGTGTCGGTGGCCGTGTGTGTTCCCCGGCCCCACACGTAAGACCGCGTTCCTGCAACGCGCTCCTCTCCAGGCGTGGGGGAGGGATGGCTAAACCGTGTTTCCCGGCCGAGCGCTCCCCCCACCCCCAGCGTCCCCGAGAGCCGAGGCGAGGGCCCTTTAAATCCTCCGGGGCGGCGGCGGCGGGCCGGGGATGACATCAGCGGTCGGGCCCGGGGCTCAATGGGAGCCGGCGGGCGCGCGCCGGGCGGGAGCGCGCGAGCCGGCGGCGGGGGCGGGCGGGCAGGAGGGCCGGGAGGAGGGAGGCGGCGGCGGCGGCGGCTGCGAGAACCCAGAGCCAGAGCCCGAGCCCGAGCCCGAGCCCGGCCAGGGCCGAGCGGAGCGGAGCGCGGCGGCGGCGGCGGCGGCGGCGGCGGCGGCAGCGACAGCGGCGGCGGCGGCGGCTGGGCCGGGAGAGGCTGGCGCGCCGGGCGGCTCCGCGAATCCTCCGGCATCCGCCCCGGCGGGCCGCCCCCACCCACGGCAGCCCCCCGAGCAGCGGCCCGGCACCGGAGCCTTCCCGGCGGGGTAAATATTGGGGGGCCGCGAGCCCGCGGAGGGGCGCAAACCCGGGGGGAAACGGGGCTCCCTCCGCCTCTTTGTTTTTGTGCGAGAGGGAGGGGAGGGGAGGGCGGACACACGCGCGTTCACACTCGGGTACGGGGCGGGGGGTGCAGCCCGGGCGCCGCCCGCTCGGCCCGGCGAGGACAAAGGCGCGGCTGGGGACGAGGAGGAGGAGGGTGACTATTATTCTGCAGGCTTCGCCGGGGGAGCCCCCCCCCAAGTCCGGCCCGCCTCCCCCTCCCCCAGCTGGACCCTTTAAGGCCCCAGCAGGCCGAGAGGCCACCCCCGGGGCTGTAACTGGGGGACGCTGCGGGAAGGGGGGGGCGTCCAGGCCCGGGGCGCCGGGGGCACCCGAGACTGTTGATACTGTTGACTCGGGCTTCCCGGACAGACCCTGGGCTTGTGTGTGTTTCGCTGGACAATCAGCGGCGCCTCCCCCCTTCTGTCCTGGCTCGGGACCTGGGGGTCAGCGAGGCTGCTCCCGCACGGTGGATGGGGGCGCTCGGGGGCGCGTGGGGGGCCCCCCGACGTGCTGGGCTGTGTGGTCACCCAGCCACCGATTCTGTTTTCCTTTGTGGAGAGAAAGAAAGGGGTGGGGGTTATGTATCAGCTCGGATTCTCCCATTTCTGCCCGTGAGAAATCCGTGTTTTGCGAGTCTCTGTGGCACATGAAACTATGTTCGTGGCCGGGTTAGCTCTAGAGAGAGGATCCCCGAGCCCCTCTTCACGCCCAGACTCCAAGTGGGGTGAGCCCCCTCCCCAACTTTGCCCTGAGTTCTGCATATGTTCCTCTTGGCACAGCCTTCCGCAGGGAGAAGGATTCCGGGAGAAGGGAAGGGGATCCGGAGTGTCTGAAGTTGCGCCCAGCGGATGCCTCGGCTTGGGGCTCCTTTGCCTTCCTGTCTAGAATGTCCCTCCAATTTCTACTTTAATGGTCCAGTGACAAGGGCCCTGGCTGGGGGTGAGGGGGTGTCAGAGAGTAAGAAACCTGCCCATGCGCTCTGCTGTTTGGTAGTTTGTATAATTTGTTTAAAGCTGAAACTCCGGGTTTGCGTCTGCCCTTTTTTTTTTTTTTTTTTAACTTCGTTTATTCCAACCCCCCCACCCCCCATGGGAGAAGCGGCAAAGAACTGGGAAGCTTCTCCTTTTCCCGACTGGATCCTTTTTCCTCTCCTCTGGGAGGGTTTTTAGGGGATCGGGCTGGGACCGTGTAGACTCTCCCTGGGGGCCCGGCCCGCGGGGTCTGGGAGGCTAGCGCCCAGCAGTGGTTTCTGGCAGGGCTGGTTGTTTGCGCCCTCTCTTCTCCCCTTCTCTGCCCACAGCCCGGTGAGTTGGGGAGGGGCTGGGGGGGTCATGTGCAGTGTATTTATGTAAGGCACCCAGACGGAGGGCGCGGGTATTTATATAACCCGGCGTGGGTATTTATGTAATATAGGATGCGGGTATATTTATGTCCCTTTCCTAACCTGCGGCTTTCCCGGCTGCCATGTGTGGTCTCCGAATTGGCGTTGGCGGAAAACGGGGGGGGGGGGGGGCGGGGTTTTTGTTTGTCCCCCCCCCCCCCCCCCCCCCCCCCCCCCCCCCCCCCTAGCCCCCCCCCCCCCCACCGCCCCACTGTGGGGCCCCTGGTGTGTGTTGGCTTTTCTTTCTTCCTTTGGAGTGTACACACAGATCACTGTGTATGTGAAATGTGTGGCATGTGAGTTTTCTGCAAATGTGGAGTGCGTTCCACTGGCGGCCACCGGCCAGGCATGTGGGCAGAGGCCCTTGGTTGAGAGCCCAGAGTTTGGCTGGCCTGGGGTGGAGGCTGCTTCCTTGTGGTCCTCAGTGAAGGGCTCGTGGCCGCTCCGCTGGGAGTTAGGTCCTGGGGCGAGAAGTATCTCTTGGGCAGGAGCTGGTGGCTTCTTGTCTCTGCTGGGGGCAGAGAGCTCCAGCCTGGCCATCTGCGAATTAAATCTTTCCCATATCCCCTCCCAGGTGGGTCTGGCTTTGGGGATAGCCCTGGGCATGGGGAAGGGGCCCGGCCGCTGTGCCTCATGCAGCTCCTTCTCCATCGTCCTGCTTTGCTTCCCAGCCCTGGCAGGAAGTAAGTCCTGTTTGTGTCAGGTGGGGGCAGCGGGAACCCTGTCTGGGTCCCAGGTAAGGAGACTGCCACCAACTTGCTGCTGGGGAGCAGGGGCAGGTGACGCGGCCTCTCTAGGCCCGAGTTCCCTGTCTGTAGAGGGAGGCCTCTCCTCTAGACATTCTGAGATCTTAGGGGTCCCCCATCCTTCTCGCGTTCCATAGCCACCGTCCTCTATCCCCTAAGTGTAGAAACCGGCTCCCAGCCTTTGAGTTTCCCTTTCTGCGGGCCAGGACCTCAGAGGGCAGAGGTCTCTATCAGGGTGGCCCCTGATGTCGCATGAGCTTGGGCACCCAGGGTGGGGCACGGGTAGGAGAGGAGCCGCTCCGATCAGACCTCTCCGTCCACCCCAGAGCCTGGTGGCTAAAAACCTGGCCGTGGTCTCCTCAGTTGCTCTTTGGGGCTCTCTAAGGAGACCCTCCTTCTAGTCTTTTTTTTTTTTTTTTTAAAGATTTTATTTATTTGGGACACCTGGGTGGCTCAGTTGGTTGGGCAGCTGCCTTTGGCTCAGGTCATGATCCCAGCATCCTGGGATCGAGTCCCACATCGGGCTCCTTGCTCAGCAGGGAGCCTGCTTCTCCTGCCTCTGCCTGCCACTCTGTCTGCCTGTGCTCACTCTCTCTGACAAATAAATAAATAAAATCTTTAAAAAAAAAAAAAAAAGATTTTATTTATTTGACACAAGTAGGCGGAGAGGCAGGCAGAGAGAGAGAGAGAGAGGAGGAAGCAGGCTCCCCACTGAGCAGAGAGCTCGATACGGGGCTCGATCCCAGGACCCTGGGATCATGACCTGAGCCGAAGGCAGAGGCTTTAACCCACTGAGCCACCCAGGTGCCCCCTCCTTCTAGTCTTGAAGAGAGCCAGCCCCAAACTGTCCATTCAAGGAAAAAACATGTGGAGAGCTGTGTGTGAGGTGCTCGGTGTCGTGAGGTCGAGAGGGGGAGACGGCTGGCTGCTCTGAGGCCCCCTTTCCTGCCTGCCCTCTGAGCTGGAGAGGAGGCCTCTCTCTCAAGATGGCAACTTCTGGCCTCTGGAAAGACTGGGCCAGGCTGTGGAGGCTTGGTGCCCAATACTTGTGACCAGAAGCGTGGGGGCTTGGGGGTGGAAGCAGGGGACCCTGTCGTTTCTGAGTCTTAAAGGGGGTCAGGAACTCCTGTGGGACCCTCCATTCAACATGTGCTCCCATCCCGGAAGGTGAGAACTTGCTGCTGGTTGCCGTGGTGGCAGTCCCAGAGTGATCAGCTCCTGATTTCCACCCCCGCCACCCCCTTTGTCTTTGATTTTCCCTCTTAGGGTCTTGGCCCTCCCCTGAGAGGCTCCTATCGGAGCGTCCCCAAATGAATGTCCCCCAAGCAGATGCTTACTTGGCTCTTTCCTTTGGGGCATTAGCCCCTGACGCACGTCCTCAGCCTGCCTCCTGGCCCTCACAGGGGGACACTCTGGCCCACCTGACACCCGGGTGCCCTCCGGCGAAGCCAGGCCAGCTCTGTTCTTGTACAGTGGGAGGGCCTTTGGGGGGTGGGTGTGGTGGGGTCCAGCTGGCGAGGCTCCCTTCCCAGCTCCCCGCCTCCCTGACCCCTGTGTCTCTGCTCCCCTCTGCAGTGAGAGTGAGTCATGGAGCTGCGTGTGGGGAACAAGTACCGCCTTGGACGGAAGATCGGGAGTGGGTCCTTCGGAGACATCTACCTGGGTAAGTGTCCCTGACTTCAGCCTGGTGGCTCTGGGGCCCCTGGGACAGTGCCAGGGACAAGTAGGAGGAAACATGTCGGGACTTCAGGCTGTCCAGCTGGAACTTGGCTCCAGCCTCCAGGGGCACGTTTTTGGTCATTTTGTCCCCAGGGCCATGCCAGGTAGGGAGAGAAGCAGCAGGTTGGGGGTGAGGCTGACCAGGGGAGTGGGGTCACACAGTCAGGGGGGGCGGGGTTCCTGCTCGCTGTAGGCTGCACGCAGGAGGGTATTTTTAGCTCTGGTGTCCCGCTGCAGATGACCTGGGTCTCCAGCTGGGCGTGGGAAGGCCCCGGCTGTGGTAGCACCCCTGTTTCTTGCCTCCTGGGGGAAGGATGCTGGTAGACAGAAGAGGCCTGGACTATCGCTCAGCTCCCAGCTGGGCCCCCTCCCTCTGCTCTGGCCCCTGGAATTCAGCCCAGGCTGACTTCGGAATGACAGTGACGCAGGCTCTCCCAGTAACCTCTGGGTAGGGGTGGGGGTAGGGGTCTGGTCAGAGTTTTCAGGATCATTCTCTCCGGATGTGCTTCCTGTTGAAAGTCTGAGTTTGCGCTCCTGTTGTCATTTTAAACAACTTGCTGACCTCTCAACCCCGTTCCTCAGCCTGGCAGAGGAGAGGCTCCTGGCTTCGACTGCCACCTTCTCAGCTGCCCAAGCGCATGCGCGGTCGGGAGCCACGGCCCTGCCCCTGCAGTTGCTGGTCTGGAGGGGAGGGCCTGTGGTGGTAGTTGCGAGTGGGAATTGATAGTGCAGGGTGTCCAGCCCCTGGGGTTTGGCCTCATTCCTGTCTCTTGGCCGCTCTTTCCCTCCTTAGAAAAGCAAAGTAAATCATTTCTGTCCTGGGCAGAGAAAAACAACAACGCCGTGTGCTGTGCTTGCTGGTTCTGAACCCAGGAGGCAGGGGGCGGTCTCTTACCCAGTGGTCTGGGCCTCTGCTCTCTTGGGGTATGAACACTGCTTCTCCATGAGCTGCCCCCTGCCCCATCAGAGAGGACAGGGAGGGGACACTCACTGTCTGAGCACGTAGTTGGTGCTGGGCAGGCTCCTCTTTGATTGTGGTTGCCCCACACAGCAGCAGGGCGAGCTGGAGCCCTCCTGTTCTGCACACAGCCAGAAGCAGGTGCGGCGCGGTCGGGCTGGCCTCCCGCTGCTTCTCTTGCCCGCTAGAAAAGGCAGCCCTTGCACCCGTGTGAGTGCAAGAGTGTGACAGAACATGGGAGGGAGACATCAGACAGACCTGAATTCCAGACCTGGCTTTGTGCAGCCGTTGGGAAAGTCAGGTGGCTGCTCTGTGCCTCAGTGTCCCCATATGGAAAGTTCATGGGATGATGAGGCCTGACTGACCAAGGGCTAAAAGAGGGAGCAGTGGCTTTTGGCACAGATGCACATCTGCTCCCAGGAAACATCCAGTCCAGGGCCTTCTTCCCGTAGAAGGGAACAGAAGCCCTGAAAGGGGAGGGGCAGGCCAAGGTCATTTGGAAAGCGAGTCCTGGTCCATGTGGAGAAACCTCCCTGGGGGCAGGACTTCCTGTTTATCTAGTTCATTTTGAAAACCTGGTCTAGCTTTACTCCTCTTTGTATAGGCTCTGGAGTAAATTCTACCAGGGCTTGGGGGCTGGCCTTTCTTGCATTAGCTGTATGCCCTTGAATGGGTGATGACCTCCGCTGGTCTTGGCTTCCCCATTGGTAGAATGGGGTCAGAAGGCCTGCAAGGTGGTGAGCGGTAATGAGACCCCAGTGTGCACACCTGCGCGTGCTCTGCCCAGCTGTGGCACTCTTCTGTTGTGTCCTCCACCAGCCTGAGGTCTTTTTTGGGGATTTGCTACTGTCAGAGGATTTGGGTCCTCTTGGGCCTGAGTGGGGGTGGGGTGCCAGTTCTGCCTGGAGAGCAGTTCCCCTGTCCAGCCTCTGCTGGGTGCTCAGGTCCAGGGGACCCTGGCCTGATGCTGTGTCCTGCCTCCTCCTTCCTGGGCTCCTGTTGCGCTCTTGCGGGGACAGTGGTGATTGTAGGGCCTCCCCGGCTGGCCTCGCTGGCTCCCTTTGTTCAAAGCCCTGGCCACATTCTTGTCACTGGTGCCAGTGCCAGGGCCCGACTCCAGATGGCCTCTGCAGGTGGGGCTGGGCGCGGCCTCCAGGCCCTGCTTTCCAGGATCAGCCACAGGCGAGTACTGGGTGGATGTGGCTGCAAGGCCTGCGGCCTCTCATGCGGGTCTCGGAGCAGCTGCACAGGGTCCAGAAGTGGCCGAGACTGTGTCCCCTCTACCACCACTGGCCGTGTGCCCTCAAGAGCTCCCTGTGCTTTACTCGTGGTGTCTGTTCCTCAGTTCTAATCGGCGGGGCATCGGTCTCCCCAGTGTCCTGTCCTGTGTGTCCGTGTTGGTATCTGAATGAGCCCTGATGTGAGCTTGGTCACCCCCTCTACCTACCCAGGGCTTCCCCAGGCCCCCGATCCTAGGGCTGGCCAGCTCCAGGCCCTTCTCTATGTCCACCTGTGTTTTCCAGACTGGCCCATCCCCCCATGGGGCCACTGTTCCTAATTGCTGGGTCACCTCTGCTGTCCCTGCCCCTGTTCCGGCATTTCCCACTTAGAGTTCTCCTTTGCTGCCCCCATAGAGGGTGAGTTGAGCTTGTCTGGGCAGGGCTGCCTCCGCTGGTCTGGGCCTCAGTGTGTCTATCGGTGGAATGAATGAGATGCCAGACAGTTGGGAGAGAGGAAAAAGCAGGGACTTTGGGGACTCACATTCAAAGCCCAACTCTGCCCCAACAAGTCCTGTGACCTTGGGCCAGTTACTTAACCTTTCTGAGCCTCTAGCAGTGAGAATTCAGGGAGACCAGAGAAAAGGCTGGTAGTTTCCAGACAGATCGGAAGCAGCTGAGGGGCCCCGCCGTGGTGGGAACCTGGGGGGGGGCCGCCCACTGTGGGCGTTTTCCAACACTCTCCAGGGACCCAGAAGCTTCACCTGAGAGCGAGCTCCCTGTCCTGGGGAAGTTAGTGTGGTGTTTGATCTCTTGGCCTTAAGTGTTTCAGTTTCTGTATGTGTCAGCTAGAGATACAAACAGTAGTCCTTGCAGGATGGCGGGGGAGTTGGGGCTGGGGGGGGGGAGGGTAAAGGGCTCCTCCCACGTGCCCCTCCCCATCTCGGGGAAGGGTGTTCTCCGCAGCACCTCTCTTCCCTGCATCCATCTGCTGAATCACAGTCCTGGGGGCCCTACTTTCAGAGTGTCTTGGTCTCTGCCCCCTTCCGGGGCTGGGGTCACCATCAGCTCTCATCTGGGTTTCCCTTGCCCCTCATGTCCTCTCCAGTCCTTTCTAACATGCCAGTGGGTCTGAACAGGGGTGGGGGTGGGGGGCGGATTTGTCCCCCAGGTCTGGGGACGTTTCTGATCGTTGGAATTGAGGGAAGAGGGTGTGCTGCGGACAGCTGGTGTTAGGGACGCTGCAGGCCATCCTACAATGCACAGCACAGGTCCCACGAGAAAGAATTGCGGGGCCCCAGACGTCAGTAGGGCGGAGGCTGTGAGTCCCTCTAATAAGGCATCCGTGCCTGGCCCGTGAAGTCTCAGGCTCAAGGCCAAGATCACTTGGCATTTGAGACCCTTCTGATCACCTCTTCCACAGTCTCCTGCAGCTGCCTCAAGCTCAAGTTGCAGCGAACCACTCAGCTCACTGTACCCCACTCCCAGCGGACCTTTGCATGTGCTGTGACCTCTGTCTGGCACAGTCCCGCGCACGCCTCCTGGAGCCTGTGCCGCCTTTCCTCCCACTGGCCTGTCTGTGGTTAGGGCACTGGGCTCATGTCTGAGGCCCAGGGGGCCGTACTTAACAAGTCCAACTTCTGCTGAACACTTACTTTTTTTTTTTTTTAAAAATTTTTTTTTTTTAATTTTGTGTGTGTGTGTGTGTGTGTGGGAGGGGGTGTGTGTGTGTGAGCGAGAGAGAGAGAGAGAGAGAGAGAGAGAGCGCGCGCACGCACTTGTGCATGCGCACAAGTGGGCAGAGTGGCAGGCAGAGACAGAGAGAAGCAGGCTCCCTGCCAAGCAAGGAGCCCGAGGCGGGACTTGATCCCAGCACCCTGGGATCATGACCTGAGCCAAAGGCAGTGGCTTAACAGACTGAGCCACCAGGCGCCCTTGGGCCAGGCACTCTTAGAAGCCTGTTGATACCTCAGAACGCCTCCCATGCCACGCCCTCCCTGCCTTCCAGAAACATGCGGGACCCTCCCCAGTGATGCCTTGCTGATGTGCCAGAAGTGGTTTACAGTTTGCAAAGTACTTTTTCTCCAGCTGCTCCCTGGATTTGTTGATCTGTTTTCTTATTAATTTTATTTTATGGGGTTCACAAATGAAAACACACAAAACCAAAAACCAAAACGCAAAAACATGCCGAGTGATCCTCGCTCTCTGTCTGCTTCTCTGCCTACTTGTGATCTCTGTCAAATAAATAAATTAAAAAAAAAAACAAACAAAAAAACATGCCGAGTGAAAGAAGCCAGTCACAAGGGATCACATGTTGTATGATTCCATTTAAAAGAAACGTCCAGAACAGGCAAACCCACAGATACAGAAAGTAGATGAGTGGTGGCCTGGAGCTGGGGTTTGGGGGAGATGCAGAGCGAAAACTGAAGGGGCCTGGGCTTTGGAGATGGTGAAAATGTTCTGAAGTTGATTGGAGTGTGAATCGCACAGCCTTGCGAGTACACTAAAAACCACTGAATTGTACACTTTAAAGAAATAATTGTGTAGTACATGAATTATATCCCAAAAGAGGTGTCAGGAAAGATGGCAGCCCATAATCTCGAATCCAGTAAAATGTTGTCCCCTCCTGGGCTAGGGGTCAGCGCAGCCCTGCCCGTCCCTCACTGGTTTTTCCTGCTCCTTTCCAGTGTTTTCTTATGTAGATACAACCAAACAGATCCGTATTATTTCCCCCATCTTTTTATTTTTTTAAACTGGAGAGAGCATAGAATACATACTGTTCTGTACTTTGCTTTTTCACTTCCTGTATCTTTGAGAGATCTTTCCACTTCTGCACAGAGAGAGCTTCCTCATTCTTTTTCCATTGTATTCCGTGTTATTGATGGGCCATTCTTCATTTAACCAGGCCCCGGAATGACGGCCATCTGGGCTGTGTCCAAGTTCTGCTGTTGCAAACACCCCACAGCGGACCGCCTCATCCAGGCCCTTTCTGTACTCACTAGGGTGTTGAGTGCACCCCCAAACTGGGAGCCGGCTTATTCATTTAACACATGGGCTCCTCGAGCCATGGTCCCCACTGCCCCACAGCCCCACGCAGGACAGTGCAGGCGTCTCACCGCAGGACTTCCGCCAGGCACTGGTGGGGGAGCTCTTTGGGGACCATTTGCGTTACTCTCACAAGGAGGTTGAGCATCTCACCATTTTTACATTAATGATTTCTTTTTCTTGAAGCATCTCTGTAGGTCCTTTACCCTGTTTCCTTTGAGCCTTTGGTCTTTTTCCTACTGGGGCGTAGGAGCTGGTTAGCATGTTAGTGCCATCATCCCCTTGCCACTGGTAAGTTACAGGGATAGTTCATAGGACTTTGTTGCCGGTGTTTTGTTTGTTTTTTTTTTTAAAGATTTTATTTATTTGACAGACAGAGATCACAAGTAGGCAGAGAGAGAGGAAGGGAAGCAGGCTCCCTGCTGAGCAGAGAGGCTGATGCGGGCTCCCCGGAGATCATGACCCCAGCTGAAGGCAGAGGCTTAACCCACTGAGCCACCCAGGCGCCCCTGTTGCTGGTGTTTTTGCCACGAAGAAGGGATTCCCATTTTGGATGGGATGGAGCCATTTTTTTTTTCTTTTTTCTAAATGGCCTTTGGGTTTTAAATCAGGGATAAAAAGCTTTGCCTATCCCAAAGTTGTAAGGCAATTCTCCCTTCTCGTCTCAGGTCTCATTGTTTTCTTTTTATTAAGTGTGAGTAGATACAAAAGAAGACATACAGCAAGTATGCATGCTGTCAGGCACCCTTCCTCCCCTTCCCCTCAGACGAGGACGTGCCTGTCACCATGTAGGCCCCTGCCGCCCCATGGTGTCCCCTCCTCTCCTTTCCCCTCAGAGGGAACCACCTTCTCCCCATTAAAATTGTTCCCTTGTGTTAAAGAGTTTTGTTACGTTTGTATCCCTAGACCTAACCCCGTTCAGCATTGTATCTTTTCAACTGTGCCTGCCTTCTCCTGTCTCTTCCTCTCCTTCAACAGAGGTAAAATTTGCATAACACAATTAACTGTTTTTAAAATACACAATTCAGTGGCATTTGGTACATTCCCAGTATTGTGCAACCACCATTCCTATCTAGTTCCTGCAAACATTTTCTTTTTCTTTTTTTTTTAAGATTTTATTTATTCATCTGAGAGAGAATGAGGGAGAGCATGAGAGGGGGGAGGGTCAGAAGGAGAAGCAGACTCTGCTGAGCAGAGATGTGGGACTGGATCCCGGGACTCCAGGATCATGACCTGAGCCGAAGGCAGTCGCTTAACCAACTGAGCCACCCAGGCACCCTCCCGCAAACATTTTCATCACCCCAAAAGAAAACCCCATACCCGTTAGATAGGCACACCCTCTTTCCCCCTTCCCACCCCTGGCAATCACCAGTCTACTTCCGGGCTCTGCCGATTTACCTATTCTGGGCAGTTCCTATAATGGAATCCTACATCTGTGCTTTGGTGTCTGGCTCGTTCACATAGCACGTTTGCAGGGTTCATGGACACTGTAGCATGTAACAGTCCTTCATTCCTTCCTGTGGCTGAATAACGTCCCGCTGCATGCAGAGAAGCATTCAGTTTGTCCACACCGCCCGTCGCTGGGCACTGGCTTGTCTCCACCTTGGGTTCTCGTGGATGGTGCGGCTCCTCGCTCTCTCGGACAACGCGTTAAGATGCTGGGAGCCGAGAGACGCCTGGGTGGCTCAGTTGGTTAAGCGTCTGTTCTCCGCTTGAGTCAGGATCCCGGGGTCCTGGGACTGAGCCCCACAGTAGGCTCCTTGTTAGCGGAGAGGCTGCTTCTCCCTCTGCCTGCTGCTTTCCTGCTCGTGAGTGCGCTTTCTCTCTCTGACAAATAAATAAATCAAATCTTTTTTTTTTTTTAAAGATTTTATTTATTTATTTGTCAGAGCGAGAGAGGGAGAGAGAGCGAGCACAGGCAGACAGAATGGCAGGCAGAGGCAGAGGGAGAAGCAGGCTCCCTGCCAAGCAAGGAGTCTGATGTGGGACTCGATCCCAGGACGCTGGGATCATGACCTGGGCCGAAGGCAGCTGCTCAACCAACTGAGCCACCCAGGCGTCCCAAATAAATCAAATCTTTAAAAAAAAAAAAAAAAAAAAAAAAATGCTGGGAGCCACGCACCAGCTGCCCGGAGCCAGTATCCGTTCCTTTGCCCTGCCCTGTGGCCTTTTCTCTGGCTGCATGGCAACTTGGCCATTCTGATGTCGGACTTCTGGGTGGTTGGGAGTCATGACATTCTTGTCCTGGAGCTCCCATGATTCTGAAGGACAGACACTCGGGAGTGGGCTTGCTTGGGAAAGGGTTTGTGTGTATTCAACTCTACTGGGTAAATGCCAGCCTGGTTTTCAAAGTGACTGTGCAGGGGTGCCTGGCAGCTCAGTGCCTGGTAGCGTGCGACTCTTGATCTTGGGGTTGTGAGTTCGAGCCCCATGTCGGGTGTAGAGCTGACTTAACAACAACAAAAAGGCAAAGCGGCTGTGCTCACTTATACCCCACCTTTTTCTTTTTTCCACACAAACTTTGGCTTCACTCGGGATTTCTGGTGTGTGTGGGGTGAACTATGGTGTCTTTTCTCAGATGGCCAGCCAGTGGTTCTGGGGCTGCTCATGGCAGAGCCTCATCTTGTCCCCTGACTTGAGATGCAGGCTTTCTCTTATCCTACAGTCTTCTGGGCTGCTGTCCTCCCCTGGCTCTTCTGCTCTGTGTGTGTGTGCTAAGGCTCCACGGTTTCAGTCACCCCGCTGCAGTGACACCTGGCCTCTGTCCCTCAGTCTGGCCCCTGGCCTCTAACTCAGCCCACTCAGTATTAGAGCTGGGGAAACTGAGGCAAGGCACAGTTTGGGTTTGGGTCTTTCTTGGGACTTCTTGAGACAGAAGCTTGCCCCACTCCCTTCTCTCCTCCTTAGCCCTGACATCCCACTGACCTCACTCCTCTCCAGCTCAGGGGCTCCCACTCTCCAGGGTAAAATTCCTCTCACGTGATCTGTGAGCCGTCTGCAGCCCATCTCGCCTCCCTTTGCATCTGACATTCTGGCTGCACTAGCCTGTGGCTCTGTGACGTGTCCGCAGTTCCTCCCGGCCTTCCCCTCGCACATGCTGCTCTTCCCACCCTCCCCTCCCGCCCCAACTGGCCCAGGGGTCTGCTCTGTGCCCACAGTCCCTCCGCTTCCCTTGGATTCAGTGCTGGGCCCTCTGCCTCTTTTCTGCCATCCCCCAAGGGGTGCTGAGCTGCTCAGGCACAGACGTCCGACTTGGCCCTGACTTGAGGCCAGCTGCCTGGCCGAGCGTGACCCAGGTCCCCTGTGCCCTACTCCGCCCCTGGCAGGTGCCAATATTGCCTCTGGTGAAGAAGTTGCCATCAAGCTTGAGTGTGTGAAAACGAAGCACCCGCAGCTGCACATCGAGAGCAAGTTCTACAAGATGATGCAGGGAGGAGGTGAGGGCTGGGCGGGGCCTGGGGGCGGGGCCTGAGGCGCTCTGGCGGCGTGTGTGTATATGTGCGCGTGCGTGCAGGGGGTGGTCCCACCCTGACAGCCGTTCTCTGGCCCTCAGTGGGAATCCCATCCATCAAGTGGTGCGGAGCGGAGGGAGACTACAATGTGATGGTCATGGAGCTGCTAGGGCCCAGCCTCGAGGACCTCTTCAACTTCTGCTCCCGCAAGTTCAGCCTCAAGACGGTGCTGCTCCTGGCGGACCAGATGGTGAGTCCCTCCATCAGTCCTCCCCAGCCAGGGACTGTGGGCCCTGCTGGGCTTGTGGCTTCCCTTCCAGCCTCTGTTTCCCCACCGGGCACAGGGTACCAGCCCTGCCTTCTGCCTCTGAAGGATGCCACAGCAGGAGGTAGTGACAGGGACATAGGACAGCCTTGGTGCCTGGACCAGGACCAGGGGACCTTGACCACTGACTGTAGAATTGTGGGGTGGGAGGCGTGAAATGCAGATCTCTAGGCCTCCTGGGTTGGGATCCTGGAATAGGACCTAGGACTCTGCCCTGGGATGATTTTTTTTTTTTAATTTTTAAAGATTTTATTTTTTATTTGATAGAGATCACAAGTGGGCAGAGAGGCAGGCAGAGAGAGGGGGAAGCAGGTTCCCCGCTGAGCAGGGAGCCCGATGAGGGCTTGATCCCAGGACCCTGAGATCATGACCTGAGCTGAAAGCAGAGGCTCAACCCACTGAGCCACCCAGGCGTCCCTGGGATGATTCTGAAGCTAGCGATCACACAGACCTGGCTTGCACCCCGCTGTGCTGACTCTGGGTGATCACTAAGCCTCTGTGAGTGTCCGTCGTCTCAGATGAGAGTCTCCCCTTTGCTGGGCTGTTGCGGGATCAAGAGGGACACCACGCAGTGCCTGGACCAGAGCAGTTGCATGCCTACTGATAAGCAGTTCTTCGATCCTAGCACCCTTTATAAACTCAGGGCAGAAAACCTTTTTAAAAAGAGAAAAACAGGGGCACCTGGGTGGCTCAGTGGGTTAAGCCGCTGCCTTCGGCTCGGGTCATGATCCCAGGTCCTGGGTTCGAGCCCCACATCGGGCTTTCTGCTCAGCGGGGAGCCTGCTTCCTCCTCTCTCTCTGCCTGCCTCTCTGCTTACTTGTGATTTCTCTCTGTCAAATAAATAAAAAAAATATTAAAAAAAAAAAAAAAGAGAGAGAGAGAGAAAAACATAGGATTTGGGATCCGGAATGACACATGGACAGGGCTCCCATTAGGCAGGCTCTGGGTCTGCGGCTGGCCCACTGGAAGTCTGCAGACCCCTGCAGTTTCAGGCTAAATGTGCGTGTGCGGGGGAGCGTTGTCAGATTCCCTCAGGATTGGACACAGTAGGTAATACTCAGCCAAGCCAGATGAGTCTGTTTGTTCTCAGAAGCCTGAGACCGACCCAGAGAAGGAACGGACTTGCCAGAGAACGTACCGTGTGCTTATATGTTAATTTAAGTTTCTGACATAGTGGTGAAAGACAGGGTCTGTGTGTCTGCTTGACTTTGGTGTCCTTGGCAAGCTAGGGCACAGAGCCTGTCTTTGGTCCTCCATCTCTGTCACCCCAGCTGAGTTGAGGCTTCACTGGTGCTCCTCCCTCTCCTCCCTTCCCCCACAATCTGATTGCTAGAACAACCTTCGACACTCCTCTCTAACTTCGGCTCCTCTAGTCCGATGTGGGCGTACAGCTGGGCAGCAGAGGCTTCCTTGCGGGCCCAGATGCCTTTCCAGGCTTTGTTTCTAGATCTTACCATTAGCTTTCCTACCTTGCTCTTTCCCCTCTCTGTCTCATAGTAACCTTGGTGAACTCCTCTTTCACAATTCCTGTCTGTGTCACTTCCTCCAGGAAGCTGTCTCTGACCTGCCCCCTTGAAATCATCTCACACAGCTGCAGAGACAGATCTTTCTCTCCTACCCAAGGCAGGGATCACAGATGTGTGTTTTCTGTCCCTACCGCCCCAGCCCTCAGGCCCCACTGCAGGGCCTGGCCCCGACTGCTCGGTAGAAGCACACCCCCAGACCGCTCGCTGAATGCCTTGCTGTCCCCTCCCCCAGATCAGCCGCATCGAGTACATCCACTCCAAGAACTTCATACACCGGGACGTCAAACCTGACAACTTCCTCATGGGGTTGGGGAAGAAGGGCAACCTGGTGTACATCATCGACTTCGGCCTGGCCAAGAAGTACCGGGACGCCCGCACGCACCAGCACATCCCCTACCGGGAAAACAAGAACTTGACTGGCACTGCCCGCTACGCCTCCATCAACACCCACCTGGGCATCGGTGAGTGCATGAGGCCTGTGGACTAGCGGGCCGGGGCCCTGGCTCTCTGCGGCTGGAGGTATTCCCCCCATTGTTGCCACAAAGTCAGGTTTTCCCCTTCAGGACAGCTGTGGCATGGCCACCACCTTAAGATGCCTGACTTCAGCCCTATAGCAACCCGAGCGGGTGTTCGCTTTCCATTGTGTGGGAGACACGGGCTCACGGGTGCTTGAGGTACTGAGTTGGATTTGACCCTGGCCCTGTCTGAGGCTGCACTTGTGCCCTGTCCCCAGAGGGGGCTGGCAAGGAGGCCCTGGGCTGCCTGCTCTCTAGCTGCTGAATGCGGAGGTGCCTGAGCTGGAGAAACTAGGCCCTGATTGAGTAGGAAAAGCTGGGCCCCACATCTTTTTCTGTAGAAGGGTGACTGTAACCTGTGTCTCTGCCGGAGTCACAGCTAGCTGGTGGGCCAGGCGGTGGGGTGAGGGGTGTGGGCGGTGCCCCTCAGTTGAGGAGCATGTCCTGGAGGAGGGGGGCCTGGTCCCTGTTGGCCAGGAGCCCCCGCGGACCCCGCCCCTCACCCTGTCCTTGATTCCGTGCAGAGCAAAGCCGCCGCGACGACCTGGAGAGTCTGGGCTACGTGCTCATGTACTTCAACCTGGGCTCCTTGCCCTGGCAGGGCCTCAAAGCGGCCACCAAGCGCCAGAAGTACGAGCGCATCAGTGAGAAGAAGATGTCGACGCCCATCGAGGTCCTCTGCAAAGGCTACCCCTGTGAGTAGCCCCGTGGGGACGGCGGCTGACCGGGGAACCCTTCAAGGCCTCCCTGAGGGGAAGACAGGGCCACCCAGCCCACACTGGACCCCCGCTGCCCCAGCGTCAGAGCGTTGGTCACAGGCTGGCTGTCACTGCTCGGGCCCCCCCTTCCGCCTCATCTCATGAGGGCTTCGAGTAAGAAAAGCTCATTCTTCCTCGCCCTGTGAGGCCCCTTCACCACCCATGCAGAGGCCCTTTCTGATACATGGGCTCACCACACGTGTGGGGGTTCCCCCCATCAAGCAGTTCTCTGGGACACTGTTGGGTGCCCTCTAGCTTGACTCCATTTGACACGGTCTGCCTTGAGACAGTGGGAGATCCCATAGTTTGGGGCTCCGTCCCATGAGAGCCCCCCACCAGCCCGAGGTTGGTCACAAGTCCAGCTTTCTACCTGTGCTCTGACCGGCCGGCTTCGAGTTTGAGGTTCCCACATTCTCCCCTCCCCCAGCAGGGATGAATTTGCTAGAGCAGCTCACAGTACTCAGGGAAACTTCCTCTGTGTGGCACCTTACGAAAGGCCACGATAAAAAATGTAGATGAACGGCCAGATGAAAAGATAACAGAGCGTGAGGGCTGCAAGGGGCCTGAGCACAGGGACTTCTGTCCCCGTGGAGTTGGGGCGTGTCACCCTCCTGTATGGGGATGTGTTCACCAACCTGGAAGCTGTCCAAACCCCATGCTGTTGGGATGTTTATGGAGGCTTCCTCGTGTAGACATAAGTGAGTACTAATTCTGTTTCCAGGCCCTCTCCCTTCTAAAGAAGTGTTTGGGGATGGACGCTGGAAATTCTAAACTTCTAAGTATGGTCTTAGGCTTGGTCTTTCTGGTGACCAGCTCCCACCCATCCAGGAGCCATTAGGAGGCCACCCAGAGTCGCCTCATTGGAACAAAAGATGCGCCCAGTTCTGTTAGCATTTAAGGGTTTATGAGGGTTTGAGGAACTCCCGTGCCAGGGACGGGCCAGAGGCCAGTGTGCATTTTCTGTTCATCCCGGGGGCTGCCCCGGCCCTGCTTTCCGGAGGAGGAGGTGGAGGTTTGCCTCCTGTGTCTTCAGTCATGTTGGGAGCTCCCCCTGGGCCCTTGACTGTCCTTTGGATTTTATGACAGCTCTTGACCTGCCATCTGCATGCCTGCTCCCCAGAGTGATTGGCAAGAGCAGGTAGAGCTGTGGCCTGTGGCCCTGGGGTGCCCTTGCTGCGAGGGGGCGCGCGTTCCTAACTCCCGGCCCTTCTTGTCGAGTCTTCAAGGCTCTGCTCCCCGGCATGCAAGGGTTTTAGCGCCATAAGGAGGACCATTGTTCTGTTCTGTTGTCCTCTTGTCCCCTCTGAGACTGAGAGCCTTTGGAGGGACAGCGGGTGGGGAAGATGATGCGGGCTGCGGGGGTGGGGACCCCGGGAGCCTGGGCCTCACGGCAGCCTTTTCTGTGCCCTCTGCCAGCCGAGTTCTCCACATACCTCAACTTCTGCCGCTCCCTGCGGTTCGACGACAAGCCCGACTACTCATACCTGCGCCAGCTCTTCCGCAACCTCTTCCACCGGCAGGGCTTCTCCTACGACTACGTCTTCGACTGGAACATGCTCAAATTCGTGAGTCACCTGGAGGCCAAGGCGGGCTTGGGGGACTGGACGGGGAAGGCCCCGACTCCTAAGGCCAAAGTGACCCTGTGGCGGGTGGGGCTCCCGAAAAGTGGGGGCTCTGAGCTGGACAGGGCACGCGACCTCGCTGGGCTCCCGGAGTCCCCGCGGTCCTCCCACTCTAGCCTCATCTGTGCTGAGTGTGTGTGCCGCCGCGGGCAGTGGGGCCCAGGCAGGGCACCGCCTCCCACCGGGCCCAAGAGGACCTGGCCAGGCCTTGAGTCCCTCCTAGGTGCCTTCGGCAGGGCGTGGATGGCGCTGGCGGGCCCTCCGGCTGTCCTGATTGTCGCCTACACCACCCTGCTCTTGCTATCCTGCACGCCCCAGGCAGCTGCCTTCACCATGGCCCCTCTGGCCAGCCTGGACCCATTCATTGTGGTTTCTTTCTTCCTGGTCATGGGACCCTGGGTCTTGCTAGGCGGTTGCTCTGTCTCCCTCTTTTAAGGGTTTTGGGGGTCGGGGGCGGTGGGGAGAAGCGTCAGCCCGTCAGCAGTGCCCAGAGCTCCGGAATCTGTGAAATCGTGTGTCTTGTTTCACATCTCTTCTGGAAAAGGGGGCTTCCTCGAGCCAGGCTCAGCCCCGTGACAACGAAGCCATTGCGCTGCCCTGTCCCTGTCCCTGTCCCTGTGCCGGGCCCACGTACTCACCCTCATACTGGTAAGGACCCTCAGAGGCCCGGCCTTTCCAAGATTTACCGCTTGGCTGGGCGAGCACAAGAGGCTGAGCCTCTGCTGTGCTCTCTGTCCCTTCCAGGTGCCCGGCGCCCCTGGGCACCCAGGGCCCTCCAGATAGGCCCGTGGAGGAGGTGGAGGAGCTGCCCCCCCAAAACTACTGGCCTGTGGTCTGGACTCCGGGGCCCCAGTTCTGACGTCACCAGATGTGTCTGAGCCCATCGGGGCCAGGCCTGAGGAGGTGTCCCTTGGCATGGTGGGGTGCAGTGGAGAGGGAATGGTGAAGGCCCTGCCGTGAGATTCTTGGGGATCAATCAGCTGCCTCATGAACGGAGCCTGAAGAAGGGATGATGTTCACTGCCCTGGAGGGCCTGGTGGGAATGGGCACCAAGAATGGCTTCAGCAAGACCCTGACGGTGGCCTCTGTATTGAACCTGAACTCATTAAGCGCCCCCACCTGTTCTGCACCTCATGCTGGTGTGCTACTCCTTTCGTGGCGGACGCCAGATGCCCAGGACCTGAGGGCAGCTTCTCCTGGATGCAGGGCTCAGCACCTGGGCTCGCGGCCCTCTTCTCTCTGGGGCTTGGGCGGGGACTTGGTACTGTACCCTAAGGAGTCTGACAGAGATTGGGCAGAGAGCCACAGTCCCACAGGCCAGGGGACTCGAGGGGTGGGGGTGGGCGATGGGCAGTGGGGCACCTTCTGGCCCAGACCTCCTAGCTGGGAGTGTGGCCGAGGGCCAGGGGCCGGCTCTTCTCGCCCAAAGGGTGTTCATTGCTCAAGGTATCTGGACGCTGGGCACTGCCCCCATCTGTGTGGAAAGTCATCCCTGGGTCGGCTTCAGGGATGGGCTTGGCCCTTCCTCGCAGTGTAGCTCCGAGAACGGGTTTTATGTTGTCTTGGGGCTTGCGCCATGCAATATGGTAGCTGGTGGCTACGTGTGGCTAATTTTTAATTAATTAAAATTAACCAAAACTGAAAACGTAGCTCTTCAGTCGAATTTGCTGCGTTTCAAGTTGTTTGTAGCCGCACGGGGCTGGTGAGTGGCTATCAGATCCAACAAGGCAGACGTGAACATTTCTGTCATCACAGAAAGTTCTGTGGGGCAGTGCTGCTCTAGATGGCTCCTTACAGAACCTCTCATGGGACCATCCAGCTGACAAGATCTCCTCTCAAGCCTGGCCAGGAGCACCCTCCCCACCCACTGCTGGCACTTCGACCCCTCCCCGGGGTCCCCTTCGAGGCAGGCTCTGGAGTCAGGAGCCAAACAGAGGTGCCAACAGCCTTATTCTGCACCAGTCTCTGACTTGAGGGCCCGGACTGGATCGCTGGGTGCCTTTGAGCCTATCACCCCACGGTGAACTCCACCATCTCCAGCTGCCCGTTGGCGGAAGCATCTGCAGACACGTGGTGCGGACCTTCCATGCCTTCGTCCCAAGGCCAGGCCCCCGATGCACTTACCAGCACCTACCTACAGACCAGACACCATGCTGGGCACCCAAGGCTACGGACTCCTGGGGGAAGGATCCCACCCCTGACTGCGAGCGGCTCTCCCTGAAGTAGCCACCCCGTTCAGCATCAGGGCCCCGGGACCTCTGGCTCCCTGGAGCCTGGGACGTTGCGGTCAGCACACGGAGGCACCGTTTTCCGAGGTCCAACCAGCAAGCCCGGAGGATACTCAGTGTAGCCAAGGACAGGGGTCTGCACTGCAGGGCTGGATGATTGTGTGACTTTGGTGTTGACTTTTTGTGTTTCCTGTGGGCGAATAAAAGCCAAGAAACCTCCCCGGTGTGCATTTCTTGAGGCGTCACTGGTTGGATGGAAACGTGGAAAGTAGCTCCTCCTGCTTTGGGGCTAGCCTTGACCTGAGCCTGCTGGGGTCAGGGTGTAGCCCTCTGCGCAGTCGCTCACCCCTGGCCTGTACCCCTCTGAGTGGACCCCTTGGCTTCACCAGCCTCAGTTGGCCCAGGCCAGGGATGGGCTTGTCCCCCACCCGGCCCGTGGTTTCCTGAATGGGGCTGCAGCTCTTACACAGGCCTGCTCTGTTTCTGGGGCTCAGGTGCTCTCTGCCGTCCTGTCGCTGATGGGAGCCCGGGGTCTGGGGTGGGGCTGGGTGGAGACTGGAGTCAGGAGCTAGAGCCTCAGGGGTTCCAGGCCTGCCCTATCAGGCTTGTGGGTGGGAGGACTGGGGATGTATGTCCCTCCTAAGCTCTTTGGGGGTGCAGAGTAGGATCGGGGGGCAGAGGCCTGGATTTAAACCCTGGCTCTGCCCTAAGCTGTGTGAGCCCAAACAGGTCATGAGGGCTCCTTGGGCCTCGATTCCTCACTAGGGTTCAGGGATCATTCTGCTCCCCAGCCCCCATCTCTTGGAGTTACTTAAAGGCAAGGGCCGCCCCCAGCCCTCGTTTCCCAAGGATAGCAGGGCCTTCCTGGCCAGGTGCCCGGGAGAGACACAGGGTTGCAGGAGCCTGTGCCCCGTGGCCCATGAACAGGCCCCCCTACTCAGCCTGCAGCTCTCTCCTCCACAGATGCGGCCCCCCTCATGCCAGCCCCCTGCCCTTCCCTGTGGACGACCCCAGGACCAACTAGGTAATGCGGCCAGACGCCGCTCCCATGCCATGCTCCTCTCTCTGAGGCTGTCTCCTTTCCTCCTGCACTGGGGTGGCAGCAGCCGGAGGGCAGGCCCTGGGGGCTCCCGGAACCCTTCCGCCCCATCCTGCCTGTTGGGCCTCTTTTTCCTCCCATGGGGGCACCTAGCCCATTCTTTCTCGAGCTCCCCCTGAGCTCCTGTCTTGTCCCAGGGCCAGCGGCATCCGTGTGAGTCCCAGGGCCTCCCCGACAGCACCTGCCGGAAGTCATTGCCGGCTCCAGGGATGGGGCAAGAACAACCTTTGATGGGGTCCCCTGGCTGGCTCCCTGGTTCAGACGCTGGCCCTGCTTTTAGCTAGCCTTGTTCCTCATTCTCTGGGTCTCTGAACACCTGTCCTGCTTGTTTGGAAACTTGGAGGGGCTGAGGGCTTTGGAACACAGCAGGGACCTGGGTTGGGAGGGCCAAGGAGTGCCCTTAGTCCTCTGGGGCATTAGCCCTCCCAACTCTGCCTCAGCCCAGGGCAGAGTGACCTCGGCCCGTTCCTCTGACCCAGCTTCCTCCTCCCTCCGGGCGGTCGTGTGGCTTTGTTTCTCTGTACTGTGTGTTTGGGAGTCATTTCCAGGTCTTCCGCCTGGTGGGGAGGAGGTTGGACCAGAGGGTTTCCGAGCTGCCTCTTCCCCAGGGGCCCACCCGGCCTCTTCCCCGTACTCTGCCCCGTGGGAGGGCTGGACCTCACAGGCCTGACCGGGTCTCTTCTCTTCCCCGCAGGGCGCAGCCCGGAACCCCGAGGACGTGGACCGGGAGCGGCGAGAGCACGAGCGCGAGGAGAGGATGGGACAGCTCCGTGGCTCGGCGACCCGGGCCCTACCCCCTGGCCCGCCCACAGGGGCTGCTGCCAACCGGCTCCGCAGTGCCGCAGAGCCTGTGGCTTCCACCCCGGCCTCCCGCATCCAGCAAGCTGGTGAGCGGGGTGGGGGGCCCCTTGCACAGTGGGCTGGGCCCAAGGGGGGCCGGAGCGACGGGGGCCTGGACACTGATGGGGGGCCTCCCCCTGCCTCTCCCTACCTCTCCTCCTCTAGGCAATACTTCTCCCAGAGCGATCTCACGAGTCGACAGAGAGAGGAAGGTGAGCATGAGGCTACACAGGGGGGCGCCTGCCAACGTCTCCTCCTCCGACCTCACTGGGCGGCAAGAGGTCTCCCGGATTTCAGCCTCACAGGTGAGCTGCCCTGGCTGCCGGCCTCCTCTGCCTCGCCACTGGGCCCGAGGGCCATGGCCGGGCCCGGTGGGCCACAGGGAGCTCATGGAGGAGGGGTCGTGGTCCTAGCCATCAGGAAGTTCCCCTCAGGTCCCTGTCAGCACAGGGTGGAGGGATGGGCAGATTCTGCTGGTGGCCTCACTTGGGACCATGTTTGGACTCAGAAAGTTGGGAAGGGGGAGTCTAGTTGCCCAGGGATCTCCTGCAGAGGTGGCAGGAGACCTGCCTTGGTCCTTTTGCTTGTGGTGGGTGAGCCCCAGGATGGGCCATGAGCTGGGAGTCTGGTGGTCCCAACGTGATGTCCATGTGGCCCGGAGTAGCTGCTTTGTCTCTGAAGCAGCTATGTCCTAGGGTCATTGAGGTCACACTCCCCTTCCCTTGGTTCCAGGGGCAGTGGGGGTGGGCAGGGAGCTCCACAGTGGGGAGAGACTTGCCACACTGCGGTCAGCAGCAGCTTATCCCCTCCCCGCCTCTGTGTCTCTCCTCCCAAAGACAAGCGTGCCATTTGACCATCTCGGAAAGTGAGGAAGAGCCACCATCGGACCAGTATTTGCTTAGGTGAGTCAGTATCTGCGGCAGATGGAGCCCAGCCAGGTCTAGAAACACCCGTGGCCTCAGGGGGGAGTGGCAGGGCCTCTCCCCCCCCCCCCCACCCCATCAACAGCCCTTGAGAGAATTTACCTCAGAGCTACTTGGCTCAGCCCAGCCCACACCAGCTAATTTCAGCTGGAAAAAGCCTCCCTCTGCCCTCAGGCCAGTCCTCCATTCTCTGTCCCTCTGTTCGCTGTCCCTGCCCCCCTTCCAGTAGTCTGCAGAGGAGTTAGTTCTTAGCTGAGACAGCCCTGGGGGCTGACGGTTGTCCCCAGGCCTTTAGTCCTACCTTAGCCCTTGGGCTGTTAAACATGTCATTCCCATAAAGCACTTAGAACAGGGTCATGTACTTGGGGGTTTATCTGATGTAAAACGTGGCCCTTGGTGGCCTCCCAGAGCCCTTTGGCCAGTGTGAATCGCCGTGGGACGCCCATGGCCACATGTGGGCCTGAGGAGCTGGAAGCAGGTTTCCTCTGGAGCCTGACTTGGGGAAGCGCAGGGGGCAGAGGGGAGGTTCTGGGAGGGGAGGGCTGTAGGGGAAAACGTCTGAGCTCCCTGGGGAATAGGTATGTGGCAGGGGGCTTCGCCAGTGTGGCCTCACACCAGGACGCCCTGAGCATGAGGTGATTTGCAGAAATTCATTCCACGGCTAGAGCTGGGACGTGAAACAGGGCTTGCCTTCGCCACTTCTCAGGTCCGGGAACCAGTCCTTCCGTGGCAGGGTGGGGTGGGCACGTGGCTGCTCACCAAGAGGACAGAGGAGGAGGGAGAGAGGTCTTGTTCTTCCCATGAAAATGGAGCACCCACTGTGTCCCTGGAGAGGGACGGGCTCAAAGCCTCGGGACAGGAGCATGGGGACTCAGGTTGTCTGGCGGATGGTGGCCAGAGGCAGACGTGCACCTGATCTGTCTTCTCTCCCCCTTCCAGTGTCTTCACTGTATTTTCTTTTAAAAACAACAACAACAAAAAGATGGGGAAAAAAACCACTCAAAAGAACAAAAAGAAAAAAAACCCAGCATAAAACCGACGATGGATTTTCTTTTATTTTTCTTTTTTTCTTTTTCTTTTTTTCCTTTTTTTTTTTTTTTTTTCTGCCATTGGCAAGAAGATGGGATGCCTTCAGCACAGAGGATTCTTGTCCCTACGCGTTTCCCATTGTCCACAACCTTCAGGCAGCCGAATGCTCCCCCGACATGGGGCTCCACACGCCAGGCGCCATGGCCGCGCCCCAGCCAGCGCAGACACCGGGCCGAGAGGGGCTATTTGCATGTTGGAGATGCCGCTGGTCCTCGTGTGCCATCAAGAGGTGGCCTGAGGAGCCGGGGGGAATGGTGTGGTTGGTCGGGGTAGATCCCACTGGGTGCTCTTGAGTCTTGGGACCCCAGGAAACAGGCACAGCTCCTACTGCCCCGAAATGACTGTGGCCGAATTTCTGGGTTGGGGTTTTCAGTGTCCCCTGAACGTCTGGGTCTCTTTGCCTCTCCAAGAAGACTCTGAGGAATGGGTGGCGAGGTGGTGGGGGGCTGGGATTCCTTGTTTGTGTGTGTCTGTCTGTCTTTGTAGCTCCCAGGACAGCAGGTGCCCTGCCCCACCTGCCAGGCGGACTTTTGGTTCTCGCCCTCCTAACAAGGACACAGGGGTAGGCGGTGACTTTCCGTGGCCCCCAAGAAGGGCACAGAGGGTCCTTGTCACTGCCAATCCCTGAGACTGTCAGCAGCCTGTGGCAGCCCCATCCCCTTTCCGTGGTCTTAGGGCAGATCTGTGACTACTTCCAGAAAGCATCCGGCTCCTGGGTTATGAATTAATTCTCTGGGCAGGCCACACTCACCTGGCGCCCCACCCTCCCTCCCCACGTTCTGCCTCTCTCTCCAGGAGGAGCCTGGGGTCAGGGCTGGGCACCGGATTCATCCACCCCTCCTAGTTAACACCCATTTTTACTTTATTTTTATTTGTTTTCTCTGTGTGTGTATTTCCTAATTTATTTACCTCTTTTTCCCCTTTTTTTCTTTTCCTTTTTTTTTTTTTTTTTTAATTAAAGAGCAAAGCTTTTTATTACTTTGTAATTTAAAAAACTGAAAAAAAAATACTGAAGAACTTTGGGGGGAATTTTGTACTTTTTTCCTGTGTAAATATTGGACTTTTTTGAGCTTTATTGTGGTTGTTAATTTGAAGTAATAAAGTAGAAAAGGATAAAGTGAAACAGATAGCCCTTGGTTCACATTTTTGCTCTGGGGGCTTCTCCCCAAGCAGGCCTGGGAGCAGGTGTGGCCGCTGGGGATGACTAGGCCAGTGATGGGTACCTCCCTGGGGTTACTTTACACGAGTGTTTCAAAAACTGCAGCCATGCCAGCTGGGGCCTCATTCAAGTGCAGATTGGTGTGGAGACTGAGTCTGCATCCTCCCAAGGTCCAGGGGATCCCGCAGGCCCAGGACCACACTGCATAGGAAGGTTCAAAGCGCTCTTCACAACATGATCTTATGCACACGAGAATTCTGAGTTCGGTCCTATTAATCTCCCTCCCTTCAGAGGGGTAAACAAGGCACAAGTAAAATGACTTGCCCGAGGTCCCACAGCCAGCTCTCTGGCAGCAGAACCAGGATTCGAACCCTGCCGATTCCGCGCTCACAGTGCCTCCTGCCCGGCCTTGAAAAAGGAGCGGCCCTCAGCCTTTGTCTCTGCAGCGTAAGGAAGAATTTATCAGTTTACCTTTATCCAACACAGTTTACTTTCCAACTTCTCATTAACCCAAGAGCCACTGTTTGCCACCATCACCCGTAAGAGAGCAAAGCCACCTGACTCATCTGTCAACCTGGAGAGAGGGCGAGGTCTCTGAGAGGTTCTCCAGGGGGCATATTGGAAGTCCTGGGCGTAGCTCAAACCCCCAGAATGCAGGGCTGTTCCGTGCTGGCATTTAAAGACCCAGGGACCCCCATGGCCTGCCTCAGGCCTGGGGGAGGGTCTCCTGCTGGCCCTCCACATAAGTCTGTATTCACAACCATCAAGGAACACCAGAAGGCCCGGAAGTCTGGGCAATGCACCAGAGCCGACCACAGGAAAGCCTGTCTGGGAGAGTTAGTGACCCCCCCCCAGCTCTCCTTGCCCTCCCCTCCCCTTGCCTCCCCTTTAGGCAATGTATCTGACGTCAAACAGTGAGTGTGGCCTTACCAACGACAGGCCCCTAGGGAAAATACAAGGGAAGCAAATCTTTGAAAATCTTTATATATAATCTTTTGCAGGGAAGACCTTAATACCTAGTAACACTAATGTGTTGTTTGCTGTTTTAAAATTCCAATTTTAGTAATACTACTAAATGTATACCTATGGAGTAAATTTGTGTTTTTACAATTTGGGGGGATTTTATTGTCTTTAGAATGTACCTCACTTAGGGGGTGCTGTCAGAGGCCAGTGCCCAGAAGTACCTTGAAATTATTATTTTCTCTGTGTGGTTATTGTATTGATTTTGATAATGAGTTAGTGCTCTCCCCTCCTCCCCAGCCCCTTGTTTTCATTTTACTTTTTGGAGATATCACGTATATGACAGTCAAGCTATTTAAAAAGTTATAATCAGAGAATCACTCCTGTTCCTGGCCCCTCCCCCGCCCCTGCCCCCCCCCCCCCCCCCCCACACCTACCATCTTCACTGGTTTCTGGTTCATTCTTCCTGTTTCTTATTGGGCAAACTAATGTATATGGGAGTGGGTGGTGGCTGACAGTCTCTGAGGAAATGACATTTAGCTGAGGCCAGAAGTGACCAAGATGTGTCAACCATGCAAACAGTTTATTTTTATTAAGTATGCCAAATAATCGCCCAGAAATTTTGCCCAGACTGGAGGGGGCAAACGTGCCACTTGGTGAATCATTTTCATTCATGCAACAAACAGTGACTGGGCTCGTGCCGGTGCCTGGGATGCCAGGTGCTGGGTCAAGGCGGTGGGAGAGGTGGGGCAGGGAGGCCAGGGCTGGAGTCCAGAGGGCCAGCTTGGCTCCTCTGTGACCTTGGGTGTTGTCTGGGTCCTGGTTTTCTCTGTAAAATGGGGGTAATAATACCTGCTTCCAAGGGTGATGGGATTAAGTAAGACCACAGAGCAATGTAAGGGCTGAGGTCACTGAGGGCTTTCCATGCCACACCTTGCTCCCAACCCTCTGCTCAGAGCGATCCTATAAGGTTGGTATATTATGATGCCCGTTTTATAGACGAGGACATTGAGGCACAGAGAAACCTGCCTGGCTTCATGGCCAATGCCTTTAACCTTCGCTATAGCCAGGCACTTCATAGATGGTCAGTAACAGTAACTATACATTTCAAACAAGAGGAGTGATCTTGGCTTCCAGAGGCTCACAGCCTAGTCTGGGGAAAGAGACAGACTAGCAAATCATTCATCCCAGTCCAAAATCCGGTGTAAGATGTTCAGTGTGAACTAGAAACAACGCAGAGGGTGGGAATGTATTTGGTGTCACCAAGGAAGGTGTCTGAAATATTTGACCTGAGCCTTGAAATGTGAATAGCACTTTGCCAGGGGACAGGCTGGAGGAAAGTCATTCCTAGCTGAGAAAATAGTATGTGCAAAGGCCCACAGGTATGCACTAGCTTGATACTCTAAGAATTAAATTCCACCAGAACCACCGACAAGGCTAGAAAGCAGGGGGCAGGGAGGCGCATACCGAATTCCGAAGCAAGGGAAGGCGGCCAGAGCGGGAGGGGCAGAGCTGGGGGCGGAGCATCAGGAAGGAGGGCGTGGCCAGCAGACTGGAAAGGACAAGAGGCAGGGATGAGGCTGCCAAGAAAAGAGGTTCTGGCTGACCATTGCGCCCTAGCTTTTTAAAAATGCAGGAACAGGGGCGCCTGGGTGGCTCAGTGGGTTAAGCCGCTGCCTTCAGCTCAGGTCATGATCCCAGGTCCTGGGTTTGAGCCCCGCATCGGGCTTTCTGCTCAGTGGGGAGCCTGCTTCCTCCTCTCTCTCTGCCTGCCTCTCTGCCTACTTGTGATTTCTCTCTGTCAAATAAATAAATAAAATCTTTTAAAAAAAATGCAGGAACGTCTGGGTGGCTCAGTCGGTTATGCCGCTGCCTTCGGCTCAGGTCATGATCCCAGGATCTTGGGATCTAGTCCCGCATGGGGCTTCTTGCTCAGCAGGGAGCCTGCTTCTCTCTGGCTTGTGCGCTTTCTCTCTCTCTGACAAATAAATAAATACAATCTTTAAAAAAAATTGTAATATAATTTAGGAAAATGCACATATATTAAGCGTACAGCTTGGTTGCTCATCACCACCTGATGAAGAGGTAGGGACTGGAGATACTCCAGCAAGCTCCCTCAAGCCCCTTCCCACCCAGTATCCCCCCCCAACGCCCCCCCATACATACACTGGACACCACTCTTCTAGATTCTCTCAGCAGGTGACCTTCTGACACCGGGAGACAAGAGTCAGAGCAGCGGCGGGAGGAGGCAGTGCACCCAGGAGCCTGACAGGAAGAGGAAGGCCTGGGCCCTCTCTACTAGGGTGGGCAGGTGGGAGGAAGTGGTTTTGAGGGTCCAAGTGGTGTGCAAGCATTTGGAGGCTAAAGAAGCCTTGAGGAGGGGGCCCGGTGACTGGTGACTGGCCGCAGCTGGTTGGGAGGAGCGGGGAGGGGAGGAGACACCGGGAGAACCTGGTCTGGGACAAAAGGAGGGGCAGGGCTTCCAGCTCACTCCCCCTCAAAGGGCACAAGCCCCTTGTGTCCCTGAGCAGCTGGCGCCTGGCCAGTGGCATCCCGGCCCCATTCCTACCTGCAGTCAGCAGGCCCCCCAACCCAGGGCCTTCCAGGGGGAATGGACCCTGGACCCCTGCAGCCTGCTCCATGGGGGGCCATCCCAGCAGAGCTTCAGTGAAAGGAAAAGCCTTCTACTCGACCATCCCCTCACCCTCTGCCGCTCCCCCACCCATGCTCTAGTTGGGAAACAGCTCAGGGCATAGTTAGAGCTCAGAACTCCAAGCCCTGCATCACATCCTCCTTCCCGGAGCCTGCCACACTGGGCGCCCACACGCGTTCCAAGCTCCGGCCTCACACAGTGATGGGGGCACCTACGACGCCGGCTCAAGCCACACTTCTCTGGGTCCTGTTGACCATGGGGGGAGAAGGCATCTATCTGGTGTGCTGGGTCCACGTTGCTATGGTGACAGCAGTCCCCTCCCCTCCTCCTCCCTGCCACCTCTTTTACCCTAGCCTCTCACCAACAGCATCTTTCCGCCTCCCGACTGTGTGAGGTCACGTTCCACAGCCTGCTGAGGGCCGGGAAGCTGCCCAGCAGGGCTTGCCTTCCCCCAGGCTGGGCTGCCCCATCCACACACCGCCCCCCACCGCCAAGAGGCTGGGGGTTGGGGGGTGGGTGCGGGGCAGCCCAGACAGCTGCAGGGGTGAGCAGTGCCTTGGGCCCAGCCCTGGGGCTCAGGGAGGCTGCCCAGGGACCCCTGCAGCCTGGGAGAACGGCATTGCAGGTAATTACACAACCTGAGGCTTTTCATCCCAGCATCTTCAAAGCCCCTATGATTAAGGTGTGGCCCCTTTGAAGTTGTCCCATCCGGGGCTATCCACTCACTATAGCTCCGACCTGGCCCAGCCAGACCTCTTGCTTCCTCCTCTCCTCCCTCTCATTAAAGCCTCTCTGAGAAAACCCTGAACCCCACTTCCCTAGCTCCCTGCCTGCCCCCTGTACCACCACCCTGTGCGAAGGACCTCCCTTTCCCCACAACAGCACTCGGGGTTAGCTGGCTGCAACCTGGGATTTTTTAGGGAATCTGAAACATGTTCCTAGGAACTCCAAGGAAATTGGTAGTAAATCCTTCTCTTTGGCCTGTTTTCACTTGCTTGTTTGTTCGTTTGGGCTAGATAAATTAGAACTGGGACTTGGCCTCCCCTACATTAGAGGGACAGGTGTGTGTGTGCTTATGTGCGCGTGACTGAGAGACGGAAAAAGAAGCTTCCCTCCTGAG